CAGGAGCCTGCTGATGGGCATTAAAACGGGTCACCTTCAAGACAGCTGGTGGCTTTTTTTGGCAAATCGTCTTTACTTAATCCTGCCCGGAATAAAACAATAGCTGCAAGGTTCACAGGCACGTTGGAAACGTGGTGTGGGCTTTGTTACTCTGTTAAATGCTGCCCAAATTTTTGAGTCTTCTCAAATCCTTCAGCATCTGCTGCTTGATAGAAACATTGTAGGTTGTTGTATTTGATATTGCTGATTGCCTCCAGCACAGCACTGTGAAAACTGCCCAATCCTTTCTCCCAGGGCTGCACCCAGAGATGCTCTATGGTAGTTTCAAGGGGGGCAGGGCTGCAGGCTGGACTCTTCTGGTCTGTATGCAGAACTCTGTTTCAAAGGCAGAGGGGTTTGCAGGAATGGTTCATCACGGCTTGTTTATGACAGACTTGAAGATAATTTAAATTAAATTTGTCAGGCACTGTTGGCACTCTGGAAAGTGACTGTGTCAGGGAGCAAATGATGGCCCAAGGTTACTTCTAGTGCTGGTCGTCACTGCTGTGCTCTGTCTCTGTAGGATGTCTGCTCTGCCAGAGAAACCCCCGACCATCGACTGGGCTCACTACAAGGCTGTTGTGGCTAAAGCTGGCTTGGTGGATGAGTTTCAGAAGAAGGTCAGTCTCTGTCAGCTGGTATTGCTCTTTTAGGGGTTTAAATGGGGAATGTCATTGGTGCTGAGAGGAAGACACCAGAACGGGCAGAGGAGGTTGGTTTTGGCTGGGAGCTGCCCCAGCTTTACATCCTGCAGGTCAGTGTCACTCACGTCAAGGAGGTCACTCCATACATGGCTTTGGCTGCAGGGGAGGGTATTCCAGCAGTGCCTTTCCTGAGGCCAATGTTTGAGGTGTTTTCCACTCCCTGGACTGAGGAGGGTGCCAAGTGTGGCTCTGCACACAGCGGCGTGCCAAGGCCCTGGGTGCCTGCAGGGGCTGCTGTCCTCTTTGGCAGCAGGAACAGAAATGTGTGAGCTGGGCTTTTGCTGGTCACTAGTGCTGAGATAATCAGCCTGCCAAAACTGGGAGGACCCACTGGCCTCAGGTGGATCTGGGACCTTTGCCATGGGGGAAATAAGTCTGTGGTAGGATAAATCTTTGGTGTTAAACTTTCCTGCTTCTGTGCAGCACTGGGATGAACGTGGGGAGTGCTGTGTGTCCCAGCAGAGGTCTGCAGCACGGGAGAGGTTGCTCTGAGTGCACGGGTGAGCAGCACTGCTTGGGAAGGACACAGCCAAGCTGCAGTGATCAGTTCTAGAAAGCTCATTAACTTAGATGGTTGTGAGCGTGTCCTGGGAAGGAGGGAGGGAACGCTCCCCTGCTGCCAGGGGAAAGGACCTTGATGTGAGGGATTATTTCAGCCAAGCCATGTAAAACGTTTCTATTTACAGTTCAGTGCACTAAAGGTTCCTGAGCCAGTGGATACACAGTCTGCCAAAATTGATGCCCAAGAGCAGGAAGCTGTAAGTGTTTAAACTGTTCCCTGAGGCTGGGGTTGTCTCTGACCTCTGCGGGGGTGGGAGGGGCTGAGGGGGAGGGACATTCAGGCTGTGCATCTGCACGGCCAGGGCAGCCTGAGCAGAGCCTGGCTCTGGTCTCCACACGGGTCTGGCTTTTGGCAAAGCAAAAGGATCTCTGCACAGGGAGAGGGCTGGCCGTTGGGGATTTGATTGAGACTCTGTCTGCTTATCTAGAGTCACAAGGATGGATTTTAATGCCATCTGAAAGCGTGGGGTTGCAGGTTCCTCTAGGTCACTGTCATAACCATGTTCACCACGTCCTCTGCTCCCCTGCAGGCAAAGAGCACTGCTGAGTACGTGCAGGCTTCCAAGGCTCGCATTGCCCAGTACGAGCAGCAGGTGAGCCTGGACTTTGCTTGGTGAATATTCTCTTCCACCAGGCCTGGCACACGCTTTGTGTGTGCACTTTGTTCTGTACTGCTGACAAGTGACTGGTGTTGGTCTCTGCTTCCTCCTCCAGCTTCAGAAGCTGAAAAGCATGATTCCCTTTGAACAGATGACCTTCGAAGACTTGCACGAAGCCTTCCCTGAAACCAAGCTGGACAAGGAGAAGTACCCGTTCTGGCCCCACAGACCCATTGCTGAGCTGTGAACTCCCCAGGAGGAGTTTGTCTAACGACTGTCAGACGCTATGATTTAAATAAAGTGCTTTCCTTCCTGCCTCTGGTTTAGCTATTAGATGTGAGGTTGCAAGGTTTTGAGACGTGTACTAACTTCAAACAGCCCAGTTTTCCTGGATTTTGTAATTTCTACCTGTGAACTGGTTTATGTAGCAAGGACCAAGATCCCAGCTGGACTTGTTGATCAGACTTCTCCTATTGCATCTCCTGTGATGCAAATAAACCATCAGTTCTTCTCTGCAAGCCCATGGTTCAGGTAAATACCTGCTCAGGAGTTGAACGTCTAGAGCCTTTTAAGGTGCTGGAGTGTATTTGGTCGTGTTCTGTGCTGCAGTGGGAGGTAGGTCTCTAGTTCTACAGGCAGAGGTCTGGGGCTGTTTTCTGGGTTGGTTGTGATGGTTTAGGTGCAGCCAATTGCAAAAACAGTTGAAGGAGTGTGGATGTGTTGAGATACATGTAAAAAAAAAACCCCAAACTTTTTTTTTTTTTTAAAACATCTGAGTATCACCCCTTTAATCCTGCTCCTATTTCTCTGGGTTTCTGAGTGATGCAGATATTGCTGAAACTCACAGAAACAATAGTACAAACACTTCAGACTTGCAGTGTTTTATTTAATTATCTGAGGTGGAATTCTTAATCACCTTTCCCCGGTATGGAGACATCTCCATGAGAGAAGGGCATTAACTCCCTTTTTTGTTGGTCATGTTTACACTAAGAATCCTAGGCAGATAGATTGAAGATACTCTCCCCAGATTTCACAATTACTACCTCCATTGCCAGCCAGCAGAATACTCCAGAACATACACAGTGCCACTGAACTAGAGTACAAAGCAGTAAGCATGCAGATCTTATGCCCTGTGGGTTTGGTTTTTATTATTTGTGTTTTGTTTAGGCAACTCAACCAACTGCAGCTCTATGAATCAAGCAGGAAAAAAATCACTGTGGAGGGGTAGAAGCAATATGATGGAGAAGAACTGAAGCAGTGCTGTGCAGAGCTGCTCTCTAGCTGCTCCATTTTATAGAAATAATAGCAAAGAAAACCAAGGACAGGAGGAAGTGGCTGTAGAGAAGCACCTTCTCCAGAACTGGCAGAAATGGGTCGTGCTCCTGCCACGGGCAGCGGGGCTGGGCTGGCTGCCTGCTTCCCTGGGCCTTCCCAGGAGGGTTGAGCCATGGGGCACCTTCCTTGGCAAGGTGGCTCGTAGTCTGGTGGTTGATGGCTGTCATTGCTGCCTTGGCAGGTGCACCTGTAAAGAGAAAATGCCACCTGTCAGTAGAGGGAGGTTGGTGGGTGACTACCACCACTGGCACTGCCTGGGGCACTGGCTGCCCAGAGGAAACCCCCTGTGCAGTAAAATGCACTGAACCTGCTAATTTTTGGAGATGATGGATTGTTTTACCTTGCTGGAAGCTGCTGAGGACCTTGTCTAAGTGTAGGGATTTGTGCTGCTGGTGCAAGAGGAAGAAGGTGTCTAACACAGCCATGATCATGAGCAGGAAGGTGCCTAAGAAGAACAGCACTGCAGAACAACATGAGAACAAAGAAAGCCCTTGATAACTGGCATCATGTTCTTGTGTTCAGGTGCCCAGTGGGGAAGGGGGGAGAAATTTGTAACCCCAGCAAGCTAAAAAAAGCTCATCTGTTCATGAACACGTCCATAAATGCCCCAAACACCTTCCTTAGGGTTGGTACCTGTGTAAAAATCTGGTTTTAGTCAATACAGACCCGTACCTATTACAGGTGGTTTGTTGGAGGAAGTTGGGAGGATGTCATTGAGAATCACAGCTAGCATGGAGCTGCCAAGGATAATGGCAACCTGGAGGTTGATTTTGTCCTCCAGAGAGCAGGGTCCAAAGAGCACAGCCATATCCAGCAGATACAGGCCACACGTTGGGAGGATCAGGTTCAAAACGTACAGAGTGGGTCGTCTCTCCATGGAAATCTGTTGAAGAAGATGGAAAAAATGTAGGTGAGCAGGAGATAACCTACTGTGTTGGGCAAATGTTTGTTGCCTAATGCAGGAAATTAGCTTGTTTCATACTTTTTTTGTTTGTTTGATTGCAAATGAGTGCAATATAACATGGAGGCACTGCCATACCACATAGGTGACCACTGAAAAGCTTTCATCTTCTAGGTATTCAATGATGCTCAGGTTGGTGAACTTCCATTCTCCATCAGTTAGGAAGTAACTGTGGCTGTCTTTCATCATCTCAGCTGGTGTCCTTCTGGTCCTCATGATGAGGTCTGTTACTGCTTGGGCAGGAGGCAGAGGAGGAGAGAAGCTGCAGAATTTAGGTATTTACTAGAGGTCAGTTATTTCCTCTCCCTTTCCCTCCCAACCAAGGGTGAGGGCAGATGGGTGGGAAGCAATGTTTCTTGTGCTGCTGGGGTTTCTTAGTCCATCAGGGAGAAATTAAAAAGGACTCCAGTGAAGAGGCTTGGCTGGATCTCTGGGAATGTGGATCAGAGGGGAAACCTCTGGTGAATGAGGACAATTGTCCTTTGTGGATGGGAGCTGGAGGGATCTGTGTCACCTCTGCTTATGTTTCAGCCCTTTGTGTTGGGATGAGCTCTGGCTGCAGTTTGGATCCCTGAAATCATCCTTAAATTCCTCCTGTTTCCATGGCTTTCACAGGTATGTTTAAAGACCAGCCCTGGAAAATTTTATGTCAACAAGTACCCTTGTTGCAGGCAGTCTCCTCGTCTCCATCTGTAGAGACCAGTCCTGGGGGAGCTCTTGCCACAGAGCATCCAGATGCTTCTGGAGATATTACTGGGAAGTGTGCCAAAGCAGAATGAGTGTTTTAGCTCGTTTGCCCTGGTGCTACATGACCTCAACCCTGCTAACCCAGTGTGAGCGTGTGGTGCTGCTGAGGGAACCCAGGAGTAAGCTGGGGTCCAGCTCATCCATCTCTCCTCCTCCAAATCTAGCTCGGCTGTGGTGGGACTCAGCTTGCTGCTGTACCTGGGTACAGAAATGAAGCTATGCTCAAGTTGCAGGTCTGGGTGTCAAAGGGAAACTTGAAGATCATCAAGCTGCACGTTAGGGTAGCCTGGAAGGTGCAGGTGAAGTTGAAGGTGCCGTTGTGCATCACAGCCATGTTATCCAGGTTGGAGTTCTGCCCGTTCACTCTGGAGGAAACAAAAGTGGGGAGGGAGCGAGCTCGGAGAGGCTGCAACGCTCCTGCCCCCAGGGGTCCTCTGTGCACCACCCAGCCGTGCAGAGCTGAGGAGAGGAATCTGGGCCTTGAGGAGGGGCTGCTGAGTGCCTCAGGACTGAGGTTTGTAGTAGCTCTTCACCTCCAGAGTGAACTCCTTCCCCTCCCCCCTCTGCTTCCCAGCCTGGCCTGGGCAGGGGCTCCTTGCTAGCTCTGCTGAGCAGCCTCGCCCTCCTCCCCCCCAGCTGAAGAGCTGGTGGGGGTGGTGCCCATCCCTCCCTCAGCCCCACAGTGCTCTGTCCTCTATCTTGCAGCAAACTGGTAAGAGACATTGCTGGTCTCTGCTGCTTCCTGCGGCCCAGAGGGGACATTCTGGGAGATGTTACAGCATTACAAAGCCACTAAGTGCTTTGTATAAACTGTGGTCACCATTAATTTAAATTACAAGGTTCTTGGTTATAGAGAGCTCATGGGAAAAGCTTTTGACCATATGAGTTTATACCAATTTCTACAACAATACCAACAGTTTGAATCATAGAATGGTTTGGGTTGGAAGGGACCTTTAAAGGTCATTTGGTCCAACCCCCCTGCAGTGAGCAGGGACATCTGCAGCTAGAGAAGGCTGTTCAGAGCCCTGGCCAGCCTGACCTGGAATGGTTCCAGGGATGGGGCAGTGACCACCTCTCTGGGCAACCTGGGCCAGGGGCTCACCACCCTCAGTGTCGAAAATGTCTTCTGTCTCTCTAGTCTAAATCTCCCTCTTTCAGTTTAAACCCATCACCCCTCACCCTGTCACAACAGGCCTTGCTAAAAAGACTTTTTTTTCTGCATCACTTGTATTTCTCTTTAGCCACCAGATAAAAATGAAAAGGGAACCTACCGCTCTAAAATGAAGATGGGAGGAGACCAGTACGCATCCATGGGCAGAACGACTTTGGAAATGTTACAGAAATCTTGTGGGTTCCAGGTTGCAAAAGTGTTCTCCCACTCCTGGGGGAAGAAGTTGCAGGAGAGAAATGAGTCCTGGGTTTGGCACTAGCCATCAAGCTGAGAAACACTCTCGAGGGACATACCATGTTCAGCACGAAGTAAAAAGTGACTGTCTGGAGCTTTTCTACCTGGAGAAACAGAAGGGAAGATATTCAGCTGATCTTCCAAGGTACAGCCAACACAGAGCCCAGAAGCTCTCCCCTGCTGCTCTTGCAGTGGACAGCACAGATTGCAGCAATTCAGCTCAAGGATCTTGGTCCTGTGGCTGAGGAATGGGAGCATACGACCCAACGATTTGAAAAAACAAAGATATTATTGTTAACCTCGACATGCCAGTGCCCTGCAAATGCATTGCTCAGCTAAGGCACTCCACAGGGCTGGTTTTAGAGCCTGCCATGAAGCAGGCTGTCCGTCTGAACCTGCCTCTCTACTTTTTCCTGGAAGAAGGTGGGACAAAATACTCCAGATCTTCCAAAAACGCATTTAAACAGCAGAAAGCTGATGAAATGCAAGGGGCTGCTCCTCATCTCCGTGGCCTTGCTGGCCCAGCCCTGCCTGGCAGGAGACTCAGACCCCGATCTAGCAATCACCCAGTTTTCTGTTACAAAGGCTCGACAGGAGTTTTGGGTCCTTACCACAGAGAGAATAGCCACCAGTATAAAATCCATCTTCACTTCCACGGGCTGCTTCAGGTTCGTCTTGGGCAGTATGTGTGTGTGCAGCTTGCTGTGAGAGGAAATGTTCAGGTACTCCACCACATCGTAGTAGGTGCAGACGTACCTTGGAGCAGCCCCTGCTAGAAAAGAAAAATCCACTTAAATCG